ATTTATATGAACAAATATATACATATACATATACATATATAGGTTTTATTATGAGATTTATTTCGTGCGCCAATTATTTCTGCAAACTATCTCTGCCAATTACCTCAGAAAGTATTGATCCTAGGAAGGAATCCTAGGAAGGGATTTTTGAAGTCAGCCTTCGGATAAGGGAAATTAAGGTGCCTTCTAACTCTTCTTTAGGCAATGCGATACAGATGCTTTAGTTTAATATAACTCTTTTACTATTTTTTTCCAAACTCTTATTCTTTCCTTTTAAACAGATTATTAATCTTTCCGGATCTTTACCAAACAGTTGCTGAAAAATAAGAATTTCTCATTCAACTTCAGAAATATTAGTAACATTTTCAGTGATTTAGTCTATGTATCAAAATATATTATGTCTGTTAAGTTAGCATCCCTCCCCCTCCGCAAAAAGCAGAATAACACAAATGTAGAAATTAAATGCTCTTTATGTGCTAATTATTCTATTCACGATTTTTGTGCTTGAACGGTTTCGTGGGAAATTGCAATTGAAAGTGGAGATGCTGGCTTAACGTAAGCTAGCACCCCTACTCATTAAAATTATATTATAAAATAAAATACTCAATATAGTAGAATTATGTGCTTTTTATGTGCTTTCAAATGCCTCAAACAAAATTAGTTTATCTGTAATAGTTTAAAAGATATACGTAAAAAAAAGATCTATATACTACTGATATAAGAGTAAAGTATCAGTTAAAATATAGAAAGCAATATAATTCTTGTCTTAAAATGTTTCTTGATTAATGTGTTCTCGAAATATGCACAATGAAATTTTCGTGCTTATCCCCTTTGACCGACTTGAACGTGAGCACCCCATACGTACAAGAGTAAAGTACCAGTTAAAATATAGATAGCGAATTGGTTTTTGTCTTAAAATGTTCCTCAATTTATGTGTTTTCAAAATAAACAAAATAAGATTTTTGTTTTGGTTAATGTATTGATTAACTTGTTTAATAAGATTTCAGAAAAATTTTTAAATGTAGTATTTTTTACATAAATATTGTTATATATGTAAAATTGTTAGTAAAACGTGGGATAGTTATCAGTATCAAATATTTGATAGAGAGTAGATGGAAGAAGTGCATGCAGGAATAGATAGGAAGAATTGAGGTATACAAGTAAAATATAATTTTGTATATAAGTAATATAATTATATTAATATTTATAAAATTAAATATATGTATTTGTATACATTTTTAAAGTTATTTAATATGAGTTATGAATAAGTATTGCAAAGTTGCTAAATATTATGGAGAATTTTTCACTGAGATTCTGAACAATATATAAATACATATAAGTAAACATATGTTTAACTAATTTTTAACATTCCCGTTCTAATAATAGAAACAAAATATAATTTTCAAAATTAGTTACTCTTTAGTAAACTTTAATTTGTATTTATATAGAATATCTCTTGTGTATTGTTTTTTATGATAATGTTACATGAATGATAGTGCAGTTCACGCTACAATTGCGCGACTAATACTTGAAAGATATATTTGTTTTATGATGTACAAAAGAATATGGTAATAGAATATTTAGATATTACATATATAATTATGTTTATTAAAAAAATTTGTATCAAAAAATTACATTGACAAAAAAATTAATGTGATTTTTATGCTTTTAAAATCATTGTGCATATTTCGGGAGCACATAAATTGAGGAATATTTTAAGACCAAAACCAATTTGCTACCTGTATTCTAACTGGTACTTTACTTTTGTACGTATGGGGTGTTCACGTTCAAGTCGGTCAAAGGGGATAAGCACGAAAATTTCATTGTGCATATTTCGAGAACACATTAATCAAGAAACATTTTAAGACAAGAATTATTATGCTTTCTGTATTTTAACTGATACTTTACTCTTATATCAGTATAGTATATAGATCTTTTTTTGCATATATTTTTTAAACTATTACAGATAGACTAATTTTGTTTGAGGCATTTGAAAGCACATAAAAAGCACATAATTCTAGCATAATGAGTTTTTTATTTTATATGTAATTTTAATGAGTGGGGGTGCTAGCTTACGTTAAGCCAGCACCCCCAGTTTCAATTGCAATTTCCCACGAAACCGCTCGAGCACAAAAATCGTGAATAGAGCACATATAATTAACGCATGAAGAGCACTTAATTTCTGCATATGTGTTATTCCGGTTTTTTATGGGGGGTGCTAACTTAACAGACATAAATACATTATGTTACTTTTTTACCTTTTAAGATTTTTTTCTTTGTTTACGGATGTTTGCAAATCTAAGCCATTCCATTATAGAGTGTTCCAAGTCTTTCTCTGTATTACAAGGAATTGTTGTCTAATAGCCTCTAAAACAAGAAAAATTCAATATAGTTTAGATAAGAAAATGGTTGTAATTTAATATATATATATTAATTATAATAAGCAGCTTTACTTACGACTTGTGTAAAAGCTTCTTGATCATCTTTTAGCATTTCTAGTATCTTGTACAGAGTTTTCCTTGTAATATATTGTTCACTGATGTTTATCTTAGCCAGGGTCAAATTTTTCAAATGGTGGTTTTTTGAATTTGATACAACAATTGATCCCATATGTTAAGACATATTCATTGCCCTGTACATATAAAATACGCTTACAATAATATATTTATATACTTTAGAGTGTGATAGCACATATATGTGAAAAAATATAGAAATAAATAAAAAGTCAGTTTTGGTTTTGTTTGTACTGATCGTTTGTTACATCTATCAACTTTATACTAATTTTATACTAAATTACTCTTACAGTGGTACATGCAAACAATGATGTATTAAAGCCGTACAATACTTTAACAAATCGTCTTCATGCATAGTGTACCAGCTTTATACGTTATCATTTACACATTTCGTCAAATTTTGAGGTTATTTTATAGAAAGTTACACTGTTTGGTACCATTGAAATAATAGCATTGACGAACCTTGATGATATTTTTAACGTCCAAGGACAAATCTATTATAGAACGTAAAAAAATTAATTGATATTTCCTCTCTTTTGTAAATCTCTCTTGTAAATTGGAAAATGAATCCTACATCACTAGCTACTATTCATAGCACAATAAATAATTATAGCACGTATGGTTAATTGAATTCTTATCATTAATATACAACTTTTAGAATATAAATTATTACTTATATATAAATATGCTGTAAATAAAGAGCACTCTGCACTCCTCGATTGACACACGTGTATACGTACTCACGCATCGTATGTAAGATAATCATGTACATCATGGCTGTCGCGACGAGCGTTGCGCACAATTGTATAATACTTTCCTTAAAATATTGCTCAGCCTCGCGGCCCGAGTACATACATCAAGAATATGTTTGATCCTTAATACTTTGGTATATTTCTTTTCTTCTGCAAATCTCTCTCTTATATAGGTCAAAAAATATACAACTTTTAGAATATAAATTATTACTTATATATAAATATGCTGTAAATAAAGAGCACTCTGCACTCCTCGATTGACACACGTGTATACGTACTCACGCATCGTATGTAAGATAATCATGTACATCATGGCTGTCGCGATGAGCGTTGCGCACAATTGTATAATACTTTCCTTAGAATATTGCTCAGCCTCGCGGCCCGAGTACATACATCAAGAATATGTTTGATCCTTAATACTTACTTTGGTATATTTCTTTTCTTCTGCAAATCTCTCTCTTATATAGGTCAAAAAATAGATCTTGAATCACCAGCTACCTATTTACAGCACATATAGATAATTAAGTTCTTATCATTAATATGCAAGTTTTAGAATATAATAATTACTTACTCATATAAAAATGTTGTATACAATTAAAAGCGCTCGACAGCACAAGCACAAACGTACGTATATATGACACACTCACGCATCATACGTATGTAAGATAATGCGACTACAGTCTCCAGAACTATTACTGCTTCCGATGGGCTGTCGCGACAAGCGTGCGTCTGCTCATGATCTCGACGCGTTCAAACAGCTAAAAATAATCGGCAGTAAATTGCAAGAAAATAGCAAATAATTCCACTATATAGCTTCTACCGATACCCAAAGAACGTTATTTGTAGTTAACCTAAATTATAGGTTATAAATAATCATATCAACTACTATTCATAGCACGTATGGTTAATTGAGTTCTTATTATTAATATACAACTTTTAGAATATAATAGTTACTTACTTATATATAAATATACTCTAAATAAAGAGCACTCCGCACTGCTCGATCCACACGCGTGTATACGCACTCATGCATTGTACATACGTAAATGTACGCATCATGGCTGTCGCGATGAGCGTTGCGTACAATATAAAACAATAACATTCTAACAACAGAAAATTAATATACTACCAACGTTATTTCCAAGTCCAAATTACAAGGAACTTTGAACTGTTGCATTGATCTCAAATAAATGTCAGAGTAACATTTGAAAAATATTTTCTGTAACGTTTTTAAAATATTTTAACAACATTCAGAAAAATCATATTACGAAATAATATTTTTCAAATATGTGTATAATATTATTAAAAAACGTTTAAAAAATACACATAAAGTCAATATTTCTAAACGTTAATTTAATGTTCCTTGCTTACTGGGTTATTATATAATTACTGCATTTTATTGCATTTTTTCTCTTTTATTAAGAATTTTCTGATATTCCAAATTTTGTCATATAGCATTTTTAATATAAAAATATAAAATATTTAATAATATTTAATATAAAATATATAATATTCGACGTTAACTGGCAAAAAATTATTATTCGTATATCTGTATTGTTAATATTGTTATGCGATAGCTTTATGGTCACCAAAATAAGCAAGTATAAGAAAGAAAGAAGCGTCAGAGTCAGAGGATCACCACTACCCTGTTCGATCATTGATGTCAAGCAACAAGGCGCCGGTATACTACTTGGATGGGTGACCAGCTGAGAGAGCGGATTTCTTTGGACAAATGCGCGGCGGCTATACGCACATAGCTTAATATATTTTTTTTTGTTCCGGTAACAAAATATTTCATTTTTCACATATCAACAAATAGTTTTTGCGTCAGTAACAAAATTTTGTTTGCTAATACAAAACATTTTTCTCAGTGTAAAATGTATTTGAAATATTTCTGAAGTGTTTCTGCAATATTTCGTAGATATATTTCAGAAATATTCAGATATATTTCAGTAATATTACCGAAATATTGCCGAAATCTTTTAGCAAAGTTGCATTTGAAATAATTGTGCCGATTGAAACATTGCAGAAATGTTGCAGAAACGGTCGTGAAATATTTTTGAAATATTGATGAAAGGTGTAATATTTCAAATAGAATTTTGCAGAAATGTTTCTGAAATATTATATGCCGAGTGGGGTACTTACGCATTAAATTCATATATCATTACTTATTACTTATATTTCTTTAATTTCTGAATTCTTTTAATTATTAGAACTTGCGCGTGTAATCCATACCTATTCAGAATTGTATGTAAATTTTAATCGAAAAATTTTTCAAGAAACAGCAATTTTGAGTATAGAAAGAAAACCTTTAATTAACAAAGTGAGTGAACATTTTGTTTTATATCGAGCAAACTAATTAATTTGTTATTAATATGTAATACAACCAATTAGATTTTAGATAACTATGAACTAATATAATAAGAGTCACAAATGTTTTTACTGTTTCACCTTTACGTTATGACATTGGACGACAATCATATTGGATGTGCGTTTATCATGCACTTACCAAAAATTCGAGGAAATGACGGAGAGTAAATATAATACAATTTTACAAAATAAAGATTTTAATTGTTTTAGCTAATATACGCTAGAACCACTTTTCTCTGCCAGGATATACCATCAGTGAAATTTACATACACTGCTGAGGTAAGAATATAAAGATAATAAGTAATATTTGTATTCATTCCGAATTTATTCATTTATATGAATACACACGATTCATTATTATTAATATTTTTGGTGAAAGTAATATAAAAATTAAAAAATTAATCTTGATGTGCGTGTGGAATGGAAGAATCCCCAGCACCTAGAAGTAGTTTCTTAAAAGAAACTAAAGGTTAAATCCTAAAACTGAAATATATATATTCGTAATCACACAATAAGCATTGGAATAGAAACAAGCAAACTGTTTGTAAATTGAAATTCTTCAGTTGACAATTAATCGTTCTATTCATATTCACTGTTAAATATTATTATCATTAAAATAAAACTGACACTATTACTAATATCAATGGAGGAACACATAATAAAAAAAGTGTGCAAGTAGAAACTTGCACATTGCTTCCTCATAGCTTTTAAGTGTGCAAGTAGAAACTTGCATATTGCTTCCTTATAATTTTTAAGTGTACAGGGAAATTCACAGCCGGCATTGGTGTACAAAATTTCAGCAGTGGACTGAAAAAAGTAAGCAGTGGCCTATAATATTGACGGCATTATGGGGAGTGGTAATAATGACTTGTGGCAGTGGCAGTGCAGGAGGTATTGCATAGCATTGCTAAGGCAGTGTCCGAATTTTATCCGGCATTGGCTCGGCAGTACGGCAGTGGACGCCCCTTACGTTTTTTTTAGAAAATACGTATATCTGAATACCTAATAAATAGCACTATATTGACTACATCTTAAACAACGTTATATTTCCAAAATGTTTTTACGCTATCTTAAAGCAACAAAATAGCAACAAATTCTGGTATAAACGTTTATTCGATTTGAGAGCACTCTGTATATTTTTTTTCGCATGGGGGGCTTGACACATA